TCAGCAACATTTTGGTGTTTGGTTTTGTGGGTTTTTTTTTTGTAGTTTTGTTTGTTTGCTTGTTTTTAATAGCTTAAAATACCCAGTGCTTTGCTTCAGAACATTTTAGGCTGTTGTGTTTGGAAAATGTACACAAATTTGCGACTGTGGTTTTGGATACCACTCCTGTCAGCAGTAGCTCTGAGCTAATGTCCTGCAGCGCCACGTCTGTAGCTCTAATGACTAGATCCTGTTGCTCCTCCAGCTAGGACGGATCAGCCCACTTCTCCTTCCATTTAATTGCACGTCTTTACTGCCCAGGCCGGAATTCACTTCTGTCTTCCTTACATTCTGAATCATGCCCTCTGTTCAACCCCACCAAACCAGGAGAGACCTGACTTTATAAGCCCGTTTTTCTCCTCTTTGCTCTTGCCCCCTTCTCGCATTGCAGACTGGGAGAAAGGTCTCTTCTGCGCTAAAGGGTGTCGTTGCTGGTGCGGATTCAGCTACAGGCACATTGGAAATGGATTCTTAATCCCGTCTTTGACAAGAAGGCAGACTCAGCTCCTAGCTGCAGGAATCTCAGTTTTTAGGTGTATTATGGTGATTTTGCGTAAATGAAAATAAAACTGATGCATATTTTTCTTTTGTTTTCTGCATTTAGTAATGAAGTTAGAAATTCTATTTCCTGGACATAAGTTCGAAGGCTTGTACCAAATGTAGCTTTCATATCTGAACCTATATGTTCATTAATCAGTATACATTGTTTTACTGTTAGGATAGTTCTGTAAGTAGACTGCAGAGCATGTAACAGTGTATTTCAAAGAAGATGAAATTATTCTTTTTTGGCTAAGTAAAGTTTATTTAAAACTACTGAAGAAGGCAGTACTTTGAACTATTATTTCCCGTATATAAATTTTCTTTGTTTCTCTTATTTGAAACTAATTAGATAAAAGGACAAGCATAAATATTCCATTTTAGTGGAATGAGTCTGTGTGGTATGTGTTTTCTATCTATTTTTTTTCTGAGAAGGTTACACCGAATTACACATGATATTTGTACGAAGTCAGCTATATCTTAGCAGTAATAAAAATTACTACTATAACTACTTCTATAGTTTATTTTTAACAGATTTGTGTGTGTAGCATATATGTGGCATGTCTGTAAGATTTTTGTATAAATCTTCTGTTTCCTCAGAAAAATAATCTAGAAACTTTTAAAGGAAACTTGGAGTTGACTGCTGATCTGGTTTAATAATAATGTCATTTTTTACTAGGTTTTTGGTAGATTGTAGTGTACCCTGTAGCTGTGTTGTCCAAGTTTTAAAGTGATAATTTTGACAGCAGGAACTAAGTTAAAGTTTTTGTTCAAGCAGGTACATGCCTATGTGTGAGTAGGTGCATAGATAGAAATACTTTTTTTTTCAACGTATTCATTTGTGGTTTCGTTGGAATAGTTTGGCAACACATCCTTCCCTTCAATAAAAAATTGGACTTGATGTTCACAGTTTTTCCATTTGAGATAGCAAGTTGAATATTCAAGTTCAGTTCACCCATATAATTTGCTTATATTTAATATACATCGAGTTTTTTATTTGTCTTAATGAGCGGATGTAGAATGATGTTTGTCTAGTTTGTTATGGAAGCAAGTCCAGCGAAGCTCTTGTTTCTTTTACCTCTCCATAACTGTCAGGTCCATAGTGTAAACCTTAATCTGTAATCTTTGAAAAGTTATTTTTGAACTGTTTGCTTTTTACTTTTAAATTGTATATGATCATGACTAATTAACTAACCCAGACATTCACACTTAACACTAAGTGTTAATGATAAACTGCAGACAAAGTTTAAATTCCATGATATTAGGTCGATGCTGCCTTTTATTTCCTTTCTGGTTTCTGGATTTACAATTATTTTACTCAGATTTTATTTTTTTTCCTTTAGCCATTAGATTCTGAATTCTGGAATTTCCGTTGCTTCAGTCCTTGCCAAAGATAAGCTAACATCTGCATGAAAAATAGTTTAATTAACAAAATACATGTGTTTGTTTGACATATGCCTCTTAAAGTCTTAGCAAACATCAGTATTCACAAAGTAAGCAGGTTTCCTTCTTCTGTTCCCGTGTTAATAAACTGTGTGGTGCTTTGCTATAAAATATTTTTTTTCTGCGGGGAAAACACCAAAATATTTTCCAACTAGTTCATGTGCTTTGAAACTTGTGTTCAGGTGAAAAATAGCTCCACGCATGATGGGTGTCTTCATGTAAAGCTCGTACAACCAGCTTTTTGTTGTGTAGCTTGATGTGATGTATCGCTCTTCTCATAGTGGGGCTTGGATGGACAGTGGCTTTGATTTAGAACCATAGAATGGATTGGGTTGGAAGGGACCTTTAAAGGCCATCCAGTCTGACCGCCCTGCTAAAGCAGGATGGCTGAGAGAACACTGCACAGGATTGCACCCAGGTGGGGTTTGAAAGTCTCCAGAGAAGGAGACTCCACAGCCTCCCTGGGCAACCGGTTCAGTGCTCTGTCGCCCTCACAGTAGAGAAGTTTATCCTTGCGTTTAGATGGAACTTCCTGTGTTCCAGCTTGTGCCTGTTGCTTCTTGTTCTGTCACTGGGCACTACTGAAAACAGTCTGGCTCCATCCTCCTGACACCCACCGTTCAGATATTTATAGGTGTTGATAAGGTGTCTTCTCAGTCTTCTCGAGGCTAATCTCAGGTTCGATCCCTGCTCGGTCCCCATATGTTGCCTGATCTAGTTGAGAGGCGTCCCTGCCCACGACGGGGAGGTTGGATTAAATGATCTCTAAGGTCCCTTCCAGCCTAGGCCATTCTATGATTCTATGATAAACTATCCCAGCTCTCTCAACCTTTCTTCATAAGAGAGGTGCCCCAGTCCCCCAATCATCATTGTTGCCCTCTGCTGGACTCTCTCCATTAGTTCCCTGTCTCTCTTGAACTGGGAAGCCGGAAACTAGGTACAATACTCCAGGTGTGGTCTCACCAGGACAGAACAGAGCGGGAGGATAACCTCCTTGGCCTACTGGCCATACTCTTCTTGATGGCATTCAGGATGCCATAGACCTTCTTGGCCACAAGGGCACATTGCTGGCTCATGGTTAGCTTCTTGTGTACCAGGACCCCAAGATCCTTCTCCTTAGGGCTGCTTTCCAGCAGGTCTGCCTGTAACCTATATTGATGCATGGGGTTGTTCCTCTCCAGATGCAGGACCTGACATTTTCTCTTGATGAACCTTGTTAGGTGCCTCTCTGCCCAGCACTCCAGTCTGTCTAGATCATGCTGGATGGCAGCACAGCCCTCTGGTGTGTCAGCCCCTCCTCCCAGTTTTGTATCATCAGGGAACTTGCTGAGGGTACACTCTGTCCCCTCATCCAGGTCATTGATGAGTACTGACACCCAGGGAATGCCACTGGCTGCAGGCTTCCAGCTAGACCCTGCAATATCGATCACAGCCCTCTGAGCTCCGTCACTCAGCCACCTCTCAACCCACTTCGTTGTCCATTCATCTCACCCATGCTCCCTGACTTTCTTAATGAGGATGTTATGGGAGACAGTGTCAAAAACCTTGCTGAAATAAAGGTAGATGACATGCACTGCTCTCCTCTCATCTAACCAGTTTTGATGTCATAGGAGGCTATCACATTGGTCAAGCATAACTTTCCCTAGGTGAATCCATGTTGACCACTGCCAGTAACTTCCTTCCACATGTTTAGAGATGACATCCGGAATGATTTATTCTATCACCTTTGCAGGGATAGAAGTGAGACTAACAGGCCTGTTAGAGTTTCCTGGGTCATCCATTCTTGCCCTTTTTGAAGACTAGAGTGACACTGGCCTTCCTCCAGTCCTCATGTGTGACCTTTCAGAGATGATGGAGAGGCCTGGCAGGAACATCTTCCAGCTCTCTCAGTAGCGATCTCTCACAGTAGAAATGCTTTAATACATTAACTGGGTGATGACACTATGCACGTATGTCACATGAGAAACACATGCTTTTGATGTATGGAAGAATTTTGCTTGAAATACTTTGCCTGTCATATAGCAGATGTCTCTACTTGGAGTGGTTTTGTACACAAGTTCCAGTGGGGTGGCTAATTTACTTTTAGTTTAAATGGAACTATTGTACAGTAGTTGACTGGCTTTAATCCCTGGTCTGTGTCAACTGGTCTGTGTCCAGCTTCTGAGATTCCTGTTGGTCTCTAGCTGGATCACAGTTGATCTTTTTTTCACTTATTTTCCAGTTGTGTCCTTGACACATTTCTAGCAAAAATAGGGGGTTTAAAAGAATGGAGAAAAAATAGTTTGTCCCTTTTTTGCAACTGAAGCAAACTCAAGTATTTTATTTTTGGAGCATGGAAGTGAAGTTAATATCTGTGCTGTGGTTTCTTTCATGAAGTGACAGAATATTTTTTTTTTTTTTGGCTCTGATCTTAACAGCTGCTGTATTGTGACCTTTGGTTTGTTACACCAAAGTTATGTTTCAACTCTGTAAGTGTATTCCAGTCATTTAATTTTGTAAGAAAATTAGTATACAGATGAGTATGTGTGTATTAATAAAATCTTTTTCAAAAACTAACTTTTTTAGTAGTGATTTTTAGAATGCTACATGGTACTTAAATTGGTTTTGGAATATATGAAAAAGAAGGACTGGGTAGAATAGAAATTATAATGATTCCCAGTTTAAAGGAAAACAGTTTAAATTTTTTTTCTGTTATTTTTTAAATATAATTTTGAATTTAGCTATAGTTAGCTATAGTTCTGGTTTGCTGAGGGATAATCCATGACTTGAGAGAAATGCATATGTGAGATACCTTTTGCAGATTTCACTTACTGATTCCACTTGGTATTGAAAATGTTGATGCTAGAAAAATGTTGAGATGACGTTTATTTTATACGTGTGTGATGATTTTTATAAAAAGACCAGAACCTATAAAGATCTTGTTTGCTGCAGCTGAAGACCAGAGAGTTTAAATATATTTTTTTTTTTTCTCCCCCTCTAGATTTTCAACTGAATTCTCACCTATCAACACTGGCAAATATTCACAAGATTTACCACACCCTCAATAGGCTGGTAATGACTTGCCATTTTCTCTCAGAAGAACAGCTAAGATTTTAGTTCAGAATGTTTCATGACTGAAATCATGACGTGATTACACTTATAAAAATTGTGACTGCTTTTTGAATGAGAGGCTGTTGATTCTGAATCCATTAAGAGATAAGCAGTATTAGTAAAATGTGGAAGATTATCCCATGTGTTGCCTGGTCTAGTTGAGAGGCGTCCCTGCCCATGACAGGGAGGTTGGACTAGATGATCTCTAAGGTCCCGTTCAGCCTAGGCCCATTCTATTATTATACTCAGAGGTCAGGGTAGAGTTTGGGCAGTGTTCACTAAGACATTGGATTTAGATGTCTTCATAGAAGAAGCAACTTTGCTAGGCATATAAAATAATGGTAATCATCAGCAATATCGATTTCTTATGATTCTTGTGGAAATCATACTGAACGAGCAAAGAGTGAAGCAAGATTTTTTTTGGAGTTTGTCCCTGCTCGTCTGCTGTGTTTTGCATTTGTTCTATTGCAACCGTAGCTGGAAGTGCCGACATGGCTTCTGTGTGTACACAGCAATTTTAGTGGAAAAGACTGCCTGAGAAAGGAGGTAACTCATTTCAGTTGGATTTTAATCATTTTTCTGTGGAACACATACATGTGTTATCATCAAGCAAAGCTTTTCTGTTGCAAAAGGTGAATTCAGTCTTTCTAATGCTGCATTTATTAATGGAGTTGTTCAGTAGAAAAATGCAAAATTACCTATCCAGTGGATAGTTGTTTCCACTCTTGAAAGAAAGTATGGTATGGTTTTGATAAAAATATCAAAAATATTTGGCAAATAACTTAGAGATTATCCTTGAATATTTTAGATAAATTTGCAAGGGTAACTTTTTAAGAAAAATATGAGCTAAAAAACCAAATGCTCTGCAGTCTTAGCTAGATACTCCTTAAGTAGTTAAGATTTAATATCAAATAAAGGTTAAAAACATTGCTGAACGATGAAGATCCCAGTCTTGTTTAACTGTATAATTCCTTCTCTCTTGCAGAATCTGACAGAGGACGTTGGTCAAGACGATCACCAGACAGGTATTTGATAGGGATGTAGTAGAAATAGACTGAAACAATTTAAACACATTTCATCAAAAAAGTCTCTCTAATGTTATTGAAAATTGTATTTTAGAGTGCTAAGGGAATTTTAGAAAACAAGTGTCAGGATTTTAATTTTCTTCAGAATAGATGTTCATGCTTTTAATTTATCCAGTTGTGAAGGACTCGCACAGGTGTCAGCAATATCTGTCATTCTACTATTTCTTAGTGTAAAAAGTCCTTACTTTAGAACACTTTAGGAAAAATTTCTCTTACTCCTTGGACTCAACCCACTGGACTAGAAAATATCTGTGTTCTTACAGTATTTTGACTCTTGAAAGAGCATTAGTAAGAACAGAGCAGAAGCAAGACTTCTTGTGATGCCTGTGACCGAGTTTAAATGCTGTGCTCCAAACAACCCAGCATTTTTCTGGAGTGGTTTTGGCACAAATTGTTCCTATTTCTTGTGCAGATTTTCATTCAGTGTTTAAGGGCTAATTATTAGTCCAAATCTGTTTTCTTTTCAATAAAATGTCACCATTTTTGAGGCCTTCATCTCAGATGCCTGGTACTAGCTTGCTGCCATTCTTGATTCATCAGCATTTATACTTTGTGACTTGGCATCTTGCAATGTACGTTACGTCCTTTTGTGCTTGTTATTTATAAGCTGGTGTCTTCCTTTATTTCTTTTTCTTCCTTCCTTTCTGTGTTTTAGGCATGATACCTAAGGAGGAAGGAAAATAACTTACTGGCTTCAAGCCCTGATCACTCAGCAGAAGTGTTCTTTAAAACTGATCATTTCTGTCCTACCATCTGCCTCAAAGTTTTTCTTTATCCTGAGGTGCTGGCTGTGTTTACTGATGTTACCTTGAGCACTTAAGAAAATGGAAAGCACTGTTCGCTCCTCACGATGATTTCTGAGACACACTTTGAAATCTAGCACGCTCTTAGCCTAGAGCAATAAGAACTGATGCATAAGGCTGCATTGTTTGGGACCGGACAGAGCTCACTTAGGGCTTATGTACCCTCCTCCATACTGTGACAGGTGACTTTGTTTCAAAGGTGAACTGTTTTACCCTAGCCACAAAAGGCTTCTCTCAGATATTTTCAGTGTGGTTAGTGATTTGTTACTTGAAAGCAGCTGATCATGTAAATGAAAACCCTCTGCAAAAGAAGTTTTGAGGCAGGTAGTTCAAGACAGTCAGAGGATTTATTGTCCATATGTTAGAACTGATGTCCTATTCCAGATGGAGACTTGGAATTTTCCTCTTTGCAGTCTAGATGCTCAAACTAAACACAGATACATACTAATTTCAGATATGAGAATACATTCCGTAATCTTTTTTTACTTTGTTAGCTGTTGTGAAGCGCTGAGGTAGTCTGTCACTAATCAGTGAATAAGAGTAGATGTGTTTAAGTTATTTGGAATTTGTCTTATCTCTTGCCTAGAACATCTGTCATTAAGGTCAGTGTAAGAAATTATCTTCAGAGTTCTCATTATCTCCACTGGAAGGTGTTTGAGCATGTTGTTGGTTTTGATGAACTGCCTTATCCTGACATTCGTGGTTATCCTATTGCCTGCATTATATTCTTTGAATTAGACTTTTACAAAACCTTGAACATGTCCATCAAATAAGTTTGGGCACAAAATCCCAATAAAGGATGTAATTTTTTAAACTAATTGTAAAAGAACCTTTCAAACCAGGAACAAGTTTGAAATGAGAACCAAAAGTAGAGGTTTGTACTCTTGGGCTCTTCATCTTTCATTCCATTATTTCTTTGTTTCTGCCCTGTTCTATGTAGAATAAGATGAAGCCCCAGCATCTGCATAACTTCCAGGCAAATTCAGTTGGTAGATGTGCTTCATTTTCCTTATATGAGGACAAATCCACATTTAGGGAGCTGGTCATTGTGACTATAGTGCAGTGAAGTCACTCGTGTCCATTTGGTATGGGGCTTGACAATTCTGAAACATCTTATTGGAGAGCCTTATGTAAACCTAAAAAGAGTTACTTTTGTAAATTGTTTGATTTTGATGACCTAAATTTTTGGAACTTTGGTTTTCCAGTAGTACTGACTGCATAGTAAGAAGAGTCAAGAGGTGTTAAATTTGTTACACAACTTACAGACCTGCATAGATGCTGAGAATTTGAGATTCTATGTCCAGAACTCATTTGAAAGTCTTGTTAATTAACTCTGTTACAGAAGATTCTTTGAGTGTTGCCAAACCCATCTGAAGGTCATTTTTTAGTTTTGGGAGTTTTTAAAATGGTTTTTCTTACATTCTGAATATTCTGAAGCAAGCCTTATCCTTGAAGATTACTATTCATTTTCTGACATTAACTATCCTGGGTAATTTTTGATAGCATTGTGGGCCCTCCTTTGGAGTGACTTAAATGTTTATGTAAATTTGCTTGAGATATCTAAAAGCTATTTAAAAAAAACCAACAAAAAGAATTAAAAATTGAGTTTAATATTTATAATGAGCTTTTAATGCATTGTACACTTATTTTAAAGCAGTTTCTGAGCTAACAATAAAGGTACTGGACATCTGAATTTACTTTAAGTGAATTTTACCTTTTCTGAGTATTAGCTAGATTTCTTTTCTGGAACGAGATCATAAGTGGCAGTTTCAAAAGTCTTTCCCTGATTTGGGAGTGAAGGTGGACCTCGCTTTAAAATTCCAGTCACCTATAATGATTACAGTCTCCTAAAATATGTTAGTATTCTGTGTGCATATGTATTTGAAAAATAAGATAGTATGTAAATGTGTCATGGGCCTTTGCTGTTTCAGGTGTTAGTAGGGCTAAGGGAAATGGCCATTCAGATTCTGCAAACAAAGTTTTTTTTTCTTCTAGTATGGATGTGCATTAACTTGGAAAACTCTCTCTAGAATTTAAATAGTAGTTGCTATTATGTCATAACTAAAAATTTAGCAACGTGTCCATAGCTTGAAGTCATGATTTGGTTATTAAATTGTGACTTATTTACCTGTCCTGACTAAAATATCTTTAGAAGTACATTTTTGGTTGTCAACTGGCTTGTTTACAAGAACAGGGTAATTTCTTCAACAGAAACAGGGCTTGATTGCTGTTTTTGAAGCTTGTAGGGGAGAAAAAATTGCTTTTGCCTCTTATTTTTTTCGTTATTTTAGAGATGAAAACCCTCTTGAGTCCAAACCAATTTGTAGTGTGGAGTTCAACATAAAGATGATGATTTTTCCTTTTACTACAAGATGGCAAGTTGTTTTGATGAGTATCTGAGTTTTCTCATCATGTATTTGAAAAATGACGATTGTTAACTGTGCTTGTGGTGGTCTTGTTGCATCAGTAAGCGAGCAGGTATATCTTTCCAATTGCTTCAGAATTCACAGTTTCTAATTATTTTTCTTTTGAAACATCCCTCTTCTTAGGCATCAGAAGAGCAGGATTATTCAAAGTCATTATCTAGAGAGAAGGTGAAAGTCACATGTCTATGAATCTCTTCTGTAGGGACACAACTTGTAGGATTCTTATTTATTGACCTCTGTTTTTTCTTTTTTTGTTTGTTCTGATTTTGTTGCTGTTCTAGGAGTGTCCCTCCCTTATGGTGATTATCTTGCGTTTTAAATTTCTTAGGGTGAATTTTAGCTCTTGAGTTGATATTTTTCCTTGGTAGCTTTTATCTCCGGCAAACTGTCTCCTGCAAATTGGGAAGTACTGGATAGAACGTTTGGCAAACAACATTTATACTCGGCAGGCTTTTGGCTAATGGTGGCCTATTCAGCAGCCGCTTGGAGGCTCTACCTTGCAAATTCATAGCTTCAAGTGTCAAAAAAACAGGGAGAACTAAGGGTTCTGCCAGTCTTGAGTTGAGACCCAGGAGTAAGAAACTTTGAAGATAACCACATCAGAGAAGCTGCAGTTGGTAAGTAACGTTCCTGTCAAACTTTGCATGAAGTCAGAGCAAAATGCATGTTCGTTTGCAGATGATCAGACCATTGAAAACTGAAATTAGTTGTGAAAGGCTAGACCTAGAAATTAGATTCAGAATTAGAAAGTTCTGTGTAGGTAAGGTTAATACTGATGCTACTTAGTGAGCTATACTGTAAAATAAGAAGTTGCAAGAACTTAAACAAAAGCTCCCAAACTCTGATAAGTTTTTAGCATTAGATAGAAATAAAAGACTGAAATATTCTGCTGGTTTAACTTTTAGAGTTTGTTACAGGAAAATTATGACTACCTTTCAATGTACTGATTCTAGTAAAGGAAATACTTCTAAATTAACATTCTTGTACTGTATTTTTTAGTAGTTTAGAGATCATTCAACAGTTAAAACATAATGAAGACTTGGTCCAAACCTCAGTTATTGAGATGTTAAATCTCTGAAGGCATGTACAATATGTTTGTCCTCCTGATGTCCGTGTGTGTGTTTGTGCGTGAGTGGGATGTACATGTGCATTTAATAGCCACTTAGTGATTTCTGAGCTATCTCTTTTCTTCTCTTTTCTGTCAGTTTGAGAGCTGCAACTAGGTACATTCAAACCAAGAAGGGGTACAAGTTTTTCTTATGAGTGACTGGAGAAATTGGGTTGTGGCAAAATCTATTATCAGTTTAAGCCCTTAAACCAAGTTCAGAGATCTTCCTAAAAATGTCCTATCATTTAATGAGGAAAAGACTTCAAGCAGGAGTTCTTGGGTTAAATTCTTTGGTTTGTATGAGGTTGCAGATCTGAACAAATTATTTTCCTGTTCTACAACTGTGTAAGTTTTACTTTTTTTTAAATTTTCATTTTATTTTCATCTTTTGCTATGCTTCTCTTTCCACAGAGGCCTTGCATGTTTCTTTTCCCAATCAAGGCGTAAGCTCGCCAAACCCTCTGGGGTTGGTTGTTTTTCTTGCATTTTACCAGCATCCAATGCCTGTGGCCATCATAAATAGATTATTTTTTTAAAAACTTGAAAGGCATTTAAAAACAAATTACTCTCACAAGAGTGAAATAGCTATGCATTGTACTCAAATACATACACGTTTCCCAAAACAAAGTGTTCATTAGCACATGTTTTCGTTTATTAAATTTAGTGTGTGTCTTAGTCTGTTGGCTGTCTCTAGCCATCTGTTAAGTCCTGCTGTCATCTTAAGTGTTCTGAGTTTGTGTAGATTTTCAAAAAATACTTACTGACAGAGTCTTTAGAAAATTGTTCTGAAGAGCCATAAATCATCACACTTCAATAACTTATGGGAATACAGTTTTGTGGTATTATTAATCTGCAGGCATAATCAGATGGAACAAGTGACATTCAGCAAGTTGAGTTCTTTAGTTTCTCTAATCTAGATAGTAAAATGCATCAGGTGTACTGTGAGTTTGGAATGGTCCCTGGTTTACCTGTTTTAAATATGTCTGATATTGGTGAGAAGATAAATATTATTATTGTTAATTTCCTTTTGTAAAGTATTCTGGACAGTGCTTCTAGAAGTATAATTTTCTGACACAGCCACTATCATTTTTTCATGTGGTAGTAGTTTACAGAATGTAGTGCTTAGAAGTTTTTTGGTAAGTAGTTAAATTGTAATATGAATTTACAATGCTCAGATAGCTTTCTTCCTAAAAGATAGTGTAGGTATGGCCATACTTTCTTGGGAGGATGTTGGGGTGGGGTATCTTCTGGATAAAAAAAAAAAAAAAGAAAGAAGACGTAGCAAGAAATTTTGAATTGCAAAGTATATTTCTTGAACTAGGGAGAATTATTTTCTTCGTAATAGAAATGAATGTAAAGGTGAAACCAGAGAAGGCATACTAAGTGCAAAAGCTTTATTAATTGAAGCCAAATCAGTTCATCTTGATGTAAAAGCTGGTTTGAACATCTTGCCTAATGCTAGAAAAATCCATATTTTCATGTGCGTAGTAGTTTCAGTGCATGTTTAAAATAAAGTACATGTAGCAAAGCCTGTGAGGCTGTAAGGTTCCTTACATGTGTTTCTCCTATAACAGGAGAGAGACTTTCAAAGATACGAAGAATAGGTAAGCAAAAGATTGCCGTTAGTATTTGTTGGGAATTGGGCCTCTGATTTTAGTCTGCTCCCGTGGTGTCAAAAAGTAGTCAGTTTTATTGCTTGCTTCTGTGCTGTGATTTAAAGTAAAAGGTTTTGTTGGCATCTTGATAAAGCATAGCTAAACTTGGATGCTGTTGAAGCTAAAAGAAGGTAGTTTAGGCATGCTGGAGTTCTTCATATTTTCTTGCAAGTTTCTTTGGCATCGCTTTGTGTCTGGATTTTATACCTCACCTCTCTCTTCCTTTCCTTTTAAAATTCTCTGCGTAACACAGAGCTTTGATAGCTCTTTTAGCTGCTCTTACACACACCTTTCTCAGGTGTCCGTGTGGTCTTCAGAACATGAAAGTAGGACAAAATTTTGCCTGGAGTGTTAGCCTGTTGTTTTCATGAGACAGCAAAGGCAATTTAACAACTTGCTGTGGTCAAAAGGGCTGGTCCTGTGCTCTTTCTTGTGCTAATATACAGAAAGTTGTTTTTCTTTTTCGGTTGGGTTAATTATCTACAGGTTTGGTGAGCTGGATTGGCACACTGAAGAGTCACCAGAGACATAGAAGTATGTTACAAAGTTAGGAAGAAGTTCTTCACCATGAGGGGGCTGAGACACTGGCACAGGTTGCCCAGAGAGGGGGTGGAAACCCCATTCCTGGAGGTTTTTAAGGCCAGGCTGGATGGGGCTCTGAGCAACCTGATCTAGTGGGGGGATGTTCGTGCCCATGGCAGGGGGTTTGGAACTAGATGATCTTTAAGGTCCCTTCCAACCCTGACTATTCTATGATTCTATGTAGCTGAGAGAAGGGGAGGGAAAGACTGCCACTTGATTGGCATCAGTGTCTTGAACTGTCGGTTTCCTGCTTGGGCACTATCATCCTTTGAGAACTGTCCAGTCCACAAGATACAGCCAAACATTTATTTTTGTCTCCTGATGGTTGCTCAATGTCTCTTCCCACACTCACCCCCAAAAAGAAAGCAAGCAAACAAACAAAACTAAAGAGCAAAGAAAACCTTTCCTACCCCTTGCTCTCGGTATCATGAAAATCTTGGACCTTAAAAATAAAAAGATTCTGTTTTCTAGAGGTAGGTGCTCTAGTTTTTGAGTCCCATCTGTTTTTTAAAAAATAATAAACAACTCTTAGAAGCTCTGATTTGAAAAAATGACTAAAAATAAGATGCGTTTTGGGGACTTAAATACTTCTTCAGGATAGTCTCAGTTCTTGGTTTTTGTTAGACTGAAGTAGAACGAGCACTACTGTACATTTCTGATGTAGTACTTTTGGCCTTAACTGAGATCTGGTCGTCGAACACCATGTAAAGTGAGATGCATTTTGCTATTGAAAGAAGACAAGTTTTTTTGTGATTTTGAAATACCTTAACTTCCTCCCTTCCCTTCCCTTTGTAATATGCCTATTAGTGGACACAGTTTAACTGGTCTACAAGAGTTTCATTTCTTGTACTGGTGTTTTTAATTCCCTCTGTAGGAAGTCTCCGGTCTTGCAGTTCATCAGACTGCTTTAGTAAAGTGATGCCTCCAAGGAAAAAGAGGAGACCTGCAGCAGGAGATGATTTATCTGCTAAGAAAAGTAGACATGATGGGTATGTCATCTTACCATGAGCTAAGACTGATGGAATATCTGAAGTTAAATAGCCGATATGATCATGTTTTTAAATACTAATGGAAATGGTATTCAAATTTGCTTGGTTTCTCAGTGTGGAACTATTGAGAAGCCTGTGATTGAACTGTGGAATATTAATAAGCACATCTAGATTCGGAATACATCCCACCTTTTTCTAGTTGTACAAGAAGCTGGAAGGGAACTTTTCCTTGCTCTAGTTTGTCAGCTGCCAAAATAGACATACTTGTTTGTTCAAAACAGTTTCTAAGAAGGACAGTAATATCTTCCTGTGTACATGTATAAGATGTGGATTGGGCATTTTCAGTCTGCAGCCTGTCAGAAAAGTGAATGTAGGTGTAGCCCTCTCAGCTCCTACTTGAAGCCCTGCTAGTCTCTCCCTGTCATGTTGTGATTTGATGCTGAATGCGTAAGGGAAGGGTGAAGGTTGCCCGGGCAAGGTGATAGCCAGTGGTGATTGAGGTAGCGCTGCTCAGCTTCCGTCTGAAAAGCCGAAGCACAAGTCGAGTCTAGCTGTGTCACAAGTGGCGTATGTTTTTGGCATAGATGTTGCATAGCTGATACTTCTGCAAGTGTTGAATTTTCAGTATGTGTGTGTTCCGTCAGCCTCAGTCATTCAGAGTCATTTGAATGTGCTCCTTGTGTGCAAGATAATTGCTATTTATGTGCGCTAAATCCAGAACTTGTGGGGGTACCGGACTGTACGCTCTTGCATGATAGGTGCAGGACTGTCCTGACGTTGGAGAGTGACGTGTGTGGCCAGAAAGTTTAGTTGCCACTGCGTCAGTCAGTAGAATTTGAGCTATATTATATTCATGTATTACCGGTGACTCAGAAAACATGCTTCATTAGCAAGTGCCTTCAGGAAGGTAAAAAGATGCATTTCTCTCCTAACTGTCAGCCTGAAATCAGGCTGGGTGCTTTACTTTTCATTCTCTAGCATGAGTAAGAAAAATGCTGGTAGCCAAATTAAGCCTCTGGTTATGCCTCTGTAACTCCATTGTGTTTAATAGGGTTGCACAACTGTAGCTGCAGTGGAATTTATTAAATGATCAGTTCATGCAGAAGAAGAAAGAGATCCCAGCTCTCCCTTTCATTGCGTCACATATGTAACACTAGGAAAACCAAAAAGGCGGTATATATTCTTAATATTTTTTTTTTGCTTTTCAGAAATACTAAAATAGAAAGGCTCAATAGTTGATAGAGGACATTACAGCTAATTCAAAGATATGCATACAATAGGGAAGCAAAAGGAGGACGGAACATTTCTAGAATCTAAGTAGAGAGATTTGTGGAATTTAAATCTGCTTCCATTTGCCAAGTCACTGATAGTAAACCAAAACAACCCAAACCCACTAGAAAGTAAGGTTGTTTTCAAGTAAGAAAAACTGATTTGTATAATTGAAATAAGACTATGATGAGAAATTGATATCTTACTCTATCACTAGTATTTATATAATAATTTTTAAGAGCTTATTGAAAGCATAATTTGAAGAATTTTTTTATGTATATGCCTTTCAGCTTATAACTAATTGAACTAGTTTTCATTCTACTGCCATGTAAGGCTTTATTGAAAGGAGGACCTCAGCTTACTTTTGGAAGTGGAGCTGAAACCAGATCTACCAGTCATGGCCCACAGAGGAATATCCTTCTCTGCTGTGGTTCCAGTTTTTGTCAGTCTTCCTTCTTAAGTTCTAAGGGGTTTTGAACTTAGTCTCTGCTTCCCAGTGTATAAGTTTCTTTTGTTTTGGTCTTCAAGGAAACTTTTTATTTCAGCATGACTGGCAATATGAAATCAATTGCTGAACATTCAGCTTGGTCTTGGAACTCCGTTTTCTTTCAAGGAAGAATTTCTTCAAATTTGCCTTATGCCCCTGTAACCTCTGGGTGCAAGTTAGACCAAGAGCAAGCTGTCTCCTGCTTCTGTGCTTTTTGTTAGGTGGACCTCATGCCTGTTGTGTTTGGTCTTTAGAGGTCAGACCTGGCAGTTTGTCAAGCAGAAATCTCGTAGGAACCCCTATGAGAGTCTGCTGTAGCAGAGCTAGTTATTTGCAAAACCATTTCCTCTTCTATTGTATGCAGAGAATGCTGTATGCAGTAAAACCAGTATGGATAGTGTGATGCCGGTTTATGGAATACGGGTCTTCTGGGCCCAGTTTTTCCTAGAAGCTGCATACTAGTAACTCAGAGTAAGTCTTCAAGGAATATTAGCTTGTGTGGGCTCTATATTAAGCAAAAAACATGGTGTCTGCTCTTGAATGTCTACTTTCAATGTAAAAATACAATGTGTGATCTTTAGAAGACAATGTATGTTCTAACAGGGATGATTTATCACTGCAAATGCTTGTGGAGTGATACAATTTTTTATGTTTCTCAATTACAGTGTCAAATTTACAGGGGCAAGATTTACAGATAATTTCAGTAATTGCGAGTCTCTTGTTGGCTTTCAGTGTGGAAATAGTAGGTAGTAGTCTTAAGATTATCAAAGGAGTGTCATCATTAATGATGTTAGCAGCTTAATGATGTTATTACAGCTGAGACCAAATGTGGATGATTCCTCCTGGTTTCTCCATAAAAAAGGAAATTTATTTTTTTAATCCTTACGTGGATAGTGTTGTTGAGTGACATTTTCAGTTGTTGCCATTTCTGATGTGTTCTTACCATCTTTTCAACGACGATAGTAATACTTTTGAGATATAAACTTGCCGGAAAGTTTATTTTGGCAGGGCTCTGTGCTGAAAGAGAAAATGATAACTAAAAGCTCTCAAACTCTTAAACACATCTGATACCAGGGAGCTTGTAATAGCCTTCTCTAACAGCCTCAATTCCAGGCTGTTAGAGATACAGCCTCATCTTGGAAGGATTAGTGGAATAATGATCCTGACTATTGAGGAAGAACATTCATAGGAACAAATCTAGTTGTTAGTGAAGTTATTTGGAAATGCTGATGTCATGCATAGACTGATTATGGAAAACAAAGATTCCAGACATGTTCTTTAGCAGCCCACCCTTTGTTATATAAGAACTTGAATTCTGTTAATTAATGTTCATGCTGTCACCTTGAACCACGAGTGCAGTGTTTTAGTGGGAGGGAATTTTCATACTAGATTATGTATAATGAAAAGAACTCAATGTATTCGTTTGTGGATCACAGCAAGATTTATCCTGTCTTAAAGAATAGCTATTAGAAGTAAACAGTTTAGCACACACTCGCCAGAACATAATTTATATTTTACTTTTGGTATCACAGTCATAATTTTATTGTACTTAAAACCCTCACAGTAGAGGGCATTCTCAAATTGGAGTTAAAAATACATAGTCTGTATGTTGCTTTTCCTTTACTGTGTAAAGGGCCTTATGAAAGGTACAGCGGGTTTCATCTAAAGGTACTATTTAGGTGAGAATATAGCCCTCGTGGTGTAGTTATCTAATGGTGTGTATCTGTTACAATCTCTAGCCAAATATTGGCTTTTTCCTTAGTGAAAAATGAACTGTATAACGTAATGTCTTATCTTCTTTCTGATAGACTAATTAAAAAATTAGTTCTACTGCTTATTCCAGCATCATGCTGAGGGCAAAAATCTTACAGTAATGGATATTTGCGCATTAGAAGGATGAAACCTTGAAATACTTATCTGCTTCTGTGAAAGTTATGTTTTCAAGCAATTAAATCTAGAGCCTCATATCCTGGATATGTGCATGGACCACATAAGGGCCTCTTAACATGAAAAATAGATTTTCTTCATTGAGTAATAAGCTCTACTCTATAGTGGAATAATATAAGTTTTTAAAACACAGTCAACACACTATTATTAACATAGGAAGGTAAAATGAGAGTGTACTAACCTTGGAAGTTTTGAAAACCTTTAGTGTTGAGATGTTTGGGTTTTTTTTGTTGTTGTGTTGTCATGCCCCAGTCAGACAGCCTGTGTAACCAGCTGTCATAGATGTCTAGACCTTATTCCTTGAAGCAGAGATTTTCAAATACACACAGGTATAATTTTCCTGGTTTTTATACCTTTTCAGTGAACTTTACTTAATAGTTCTGAAGAAACTTAAACTGGATACGTGACTATCAGCGTGTATGCTGTAGTATGTACTGTTTCTTAAGTAAGCCCGATGTTCAAAATATTAATTGAAAAGCTGAGAGATGATTGTAAGTCTTTAAATAGGGAGAAATAAGGCATACTCCTTTATAAAACTTAACCACTCAAGTAAATTTGGCCTGAGGGCTGATTTAGGCATTCTTTGTCATGCATCGCAAATCCTAAAACTAATCTTTCCCCCTCTCTGCATTTGTTTCTACAACAGTATTTATGAAATTATTGCTAAAATCAGGGCTGTGAATGAATAGGTAAGACTTTATAAAAATGCTTTCATTGTGCTGCACTGATGAAATCTCTCAGCCAAAATTTTTAATTAACTAATTACAATTAATGGAAGCAGTAGGGGGCATCTTCAAATAATGCATCTTCACAAATATAAGTAATCTGAAAGCTATTAGTTGCTCAGTTCGAAGCTCAAACAAAATGAGTTAAAGCTTTTGAGTAAATTCTGGTTGCATAGAAACAAAGCTACTCTTGGTAAATTTCTTAATGTTTTCAGTAAACACAATCTGAAATGAGCAGGCTGTAAATCCTCCTGAGGGGTTATCTTTTGACTTACTGTAATAAACTCTACCACATTCTTTCTTTTCTTTTTTTTTTTCCCCCTTAAATGAGCTATTTCCAGCTTCCACAGTTTTGTGTGACCTAAACTCCATGCTTTCACTGATCTCAGTTTGAATATTCTGGAGCCACACAGCCCAGAATTGCTGCTGTGGTAGGTTTTGCTCTTAGCAAACTAGAGCCCAACTGACGAATGCTTAGAGCTGGAGCAGTTATCCAACTTCGAAGATGGCAGAAGATTGAAGAAATGACCATGACCTTGTTCTTTTTGCTCACAGCAACGATGTACTCTTAG